AGAACCTTGAGGGACCCCAGTAGTAAGTGGTTACCTAGTAGACATGATGGTCTTTGAGGTAGGATGAGAGCAGGGAGAGAGCAGAGCCTGAGACACCCAGAGCCTGAAGGGAGGAAATAAGGATCTGGCAGTTCACCATGYAAAATGCAGCAGATGGGTCTAGAACAACGACCACAGAGGAGAGAGGGGCTGCTCTAGCAGTGTGAAGTTGCTCAGAGACAGCAAGGAGGGCATTCTCAGTTGAGTGGCCTGCCTTGAAAACAGACTGGTGAGGATCGAGAAGGTTGTTCTGGTGAAGATAGGAAGAGAGTTGATTAAAGATAGCTCACTCGAGAGCTTTGGAAAAAAAGGGAACAAGAGAGACAGGTCTGTAGTTAATTGCTTCRGATGGGTTGAGGATGGGTTTCTTGAGGAAAGGGTTTACTCTTGCCTCCTTAARWGAGTTAGGGAAACAGGMAGTTGACTGGGAAGTGTGAATAAGTTGAGAAAAAGGGAAAGCTGCATTAAATAAGGTGCTTTCTTTGTTAATTGAATGCCTCCTTTTACGGCCACACCTGACAGTGTAAAAAGCGGCATTGTATTGATGACCACACCCATAGGTTTCCCAACTACTAAAATTAAACTGTGATCACCCAAGGCGAAGGGCAGACCGAACTATTAAGAGCACCGATCACCTTTGCGGAAGAGCACATCATCCACAGCCTATATTATTATTCCGTTTAATTTAAGAACCCCATAATAATTAATTAAGTAAAAGAGCACTTTGGTATTGTAACCTGTAACCTTGTTGTACACACTAGTTTTTAGTTAGGCAGGTTTGCACTTCTGCTTTATGTTGCATATTGAATTGTGCAATATGATTTTAGGACTTTATAATTTAGTGTATTATATTATTACTTCCTTCATCATCAGTCACAACACTGTWTAATTTTCTATACACATGTGCTATATTTAAGAAGCTTTTTATCTCCTCCTCTGGGGTAAGTTTGATTAGACTACCTACTTACCATAGTTTACAGCAGGACAGATGTGTGACCCTTTGGGTGATGATGGGCTTTTTTTTAGAATTTCCGACTAAAGTGTTTGTACACCTATAACTCAAAAGCTATATGCAAGCCCATCTGGGGTCATAATGCTCAGACAAGTCAGACAACATTAGCRCTTTGGCATCTCTGGAGAGAAAAAACCTCCTCATTAACTGGGAGAAACCTCTAACAGAACCAGACTCAGTGTGTGCAGCCATCAGCCTCGACCAGTTGGGGTGAGCAGAGAAAAAAATGGGGAAGAGAGGAGGAGTAGCTGGCAAGGAGGTGCCAGTGTTTTTTAAGGTATTTATTTTTTTTAAAAGGCATCGAGGTAATGATGTCTGATTTACTGACCCCCCCCCCTTTCTCTCTCTGTAAAGCGCCAAATCATAATATACATTATCTCAAGRCACTTTCTATAGAAGGTCAAGAAAAATTAATATAGAGAAACAAAATGTTCCCACAATGAGCAAGCACTTTGACGACTGTGGAGAGGAGAAACTCCTTCATTAACAGGGAGAAACCCTTTAGCAGAACCAGGCTCAATGTGGGCRTCATCTGCCTCGACCAGTTGAGGTGAGCAAAGAAAAAGGGGGGGAAAGAGAGAGGGGAGAAAGAGAGGGGAGAGAGACCGGGAACACTTGAGTGTTGACCCTCCATGTCAGCCCTGCGACAGACTGGCGACCTCCACTGGGTCCATCCCTCATATAATACTTAATTACTGAAATATTGTAATTAATAAAAGCAATAATGGTAAAAGTTGTTGTCCTGAGGTCCTGGGGTCAGAGATATCTGAAATGAGAGAGAAAAAGAGAGAGANCCTTCTCTCTCTCTTCTCTGCTCCCTAGTTCCTTCCCCTCTCTGCTCAGTGGAGCATGACCTGTGTATTTCTTTATTTTTTTGTGTATTTATTTATACTTATGCAGAGCCTCCTTATTTATACCTATACTGTCATTTTGTGGTCTTTTATTTTCCATGAGAAGTGCAAATGAAGAGTCATAAACCAGAACCTCCAGATTTGGAAAGAGGTGGGTGTGGTTTCTCCATGTAGTGTTGCAACAGCAGGACTGTCATTTCCTGTTTTGCTCGACACATCATGTTACTACATCCCTAAGAAGAGAGGAGAGGTAGGCTTAAAACTAGAAGTAGGTGTACTTGTTTTATTATCTTTACTACACTAACACAGCACTAATGTAATGTATTGTTGATTAATCTCATTCTGGATAGAGTAAAAAGCAGTTAGTGGACGACTTGCTAGAGCTAAGATAGCAGAGTAATAATCATAGTCACAGCAAGGGGTTCATGTGTATTTAAGTTTATAGATCTGAACAAAGCTACAATTTTGGATTTAATTCAAAGGTAACTCCTGCAATATAGATACTTGGCTTTTTCCTAAAATCAAATTATAATGCAGAGTATCTAACATCAGAATTTTATAACTCACCTACAGCAGACAGTACAAAGATCCCTGTTGCAGAGGTTCAGAAAGATGTCAAACTCCTGTGGTCTGCTCACTATCCAGAAAGAACCAGGTAAAGTGCAGAGCTGAAAACATCCGAACATCCATCACAGAAGTAAAGGCTTCATTTTATTGAATGTTAAACACACTATGATATTATCACAAGCATCAGTAATGGTTGAAATAATTCATTTGTGTTTATGTACTTTCATGTGCAAGATTTTTTGAAAAGATTGGTTGTCAATGGGTTGGTTTGTCAGAGTTGATTACTTCTCATCTACATCCACGGACTGCTAACAATCAGCTGTTTCTTGCTCAGTTCCCCTGAAGAGCATTGAGGTGGAGCTGGAGGTGAGGGACCATGTGGCGACAGTGGTCTCTACTCTGAACTACGAGAACAAGGAGGACAAACCTCTGGAGGCTGTTTTTGTCTTCCCTCTGCCTGGAGACGCTGCTGTCTGTCACTTCAGTGCTCAGATTGGACAGACACAGATTATAGCTGTGGTTAAGGAGAAACAGCAGGTTAGCTGGACAGTGACGTCTCACTCACTGTGATGGATCTTAAAGAACACAGATCTTAAAGTAAAACACAGAGAATGTTGCTCACRTGTGTCGTCTGTGTCYTCAGGCTCATGAGGAGTATGATGATGCGCTGAGCTCCGGTCAGCAGGCCTTCCTGTTAGAGGAGAGCGAGCAGAGTCCAGATATATTCACTCTGARTGTGGGCAGTCTGCCTCCAGGAGASWGCGCCTCCRTCAGGCTGGAGTACGTCACTGAGCTGGCTGTGCAGGCGGATGACGGGCTGAGGTTTTGTCTGCCTGCTGTGCTCAACCCTCGCTACCAACCTCAAGGTAGGAGGGCCAGCCAGCACCTGAAACTAAACCAGAAACTCAGAAACTCACCTTCATGATACTGGCAGTACTCAAAGACCATGAATACCCACTGTGTGTGCCTGTAGTTTGTGAGATCAGTGTACAGCGGCTTAATCCCTCAATTGCTACTGCTCAGAATTTGGCTACTAATGTGTATCATGGCAGAGTTTGTATCTGGGATATTTTGACTTCATCTCTGGAAAGTGCAAGGTAGTGGAGATGCGTCATTCTTTATATACAGTCTGTGCCAATCCTTAGAAACAGGCTTGTGACTCTTACCCTATCAAAAAGACAGACTTAGAATAATGTAGTAGGTAGATGCACTAGATCATTTGTTACACAGAACCAACTGGGAAGGCTTCATCTGAAAAGGCAGATGCGTTCAAGACATATCTGGCAGGTGATTCGATGAACCCTCTGTCTGTTCATCTCTCACCGTTGCCAAAGAGCGAAAACTTCTTTCCATCGTGATAAGCTTTTGGTGCCCCGTACTCTCCAGCTCTGTTATAGCTGATGCTCCAGCAGCATTTACACTAACCTCTTTGGGAGCCGCCATTGTTAACAAATGGGTTTTTTTCTCACAGCTATGGTCCCACATGCTCATTACTGCCAGCTGGGCCTCCCTCATAGGATGCTAATTGATCTGAACCTTCTTATATTCAGTCTATGGTCTGTGCACAAGCGAATAACGGGGACCCTGACAAGCTGGATTCTTGTTTGGAGAAAGATTGTGATCACATTGTGATGTGATGTTTTCAGATTCTGAATATGAATAGTTTGTAAGGAGGCTGGGATAGATGTGATGTGTCCACACTGACTCTGTGTTTAGTCTTCATATGAAAGTTTTGATGTGGGTTTTGTCTGAAATAAGATTGGACAATTTTTTTGATATGGGCTGGTTTATTTTATTTTACCAACATTTGTTTCATAATCAGGTTGAAACCTGTATGTCCCAATACTGAAACATGCAATAGTTCCAGGAAGACAGTTACTTAACTCATTTATCGTATTTCCAGAAATTGCCAAATGCACATGTTGGTGTTTGTACAACTGTGTGGATGCCAAAACACATTTGGACACACAACTGGAACACAGTTCATTAGGTTGTCAGTTGCTCACACTCATACATGGTTGTCTTGTAAGCACAGACGCACATTTTATTAACATGTTATTCAAACATTTAGGAATTAACAGTATTTACAACATTAGCAATAGAAACATAAAAATCACAAACTAACAAGCAACGGTTGAGGGAAAAGCAAAGGAAATAAAAGCAAGGTTTTAGAGCACTGAAGGTGTGATGCAATAAATCATGCAATGCCATTAAATTACTAAACCTAAAAGTACCATTGTATAAGCATTAAAGTAAGTCATGGATGTATTAACATGAGGAAAAGCTTTTGTGTAAGCATGCTGACACGTTTTTGGTCTTTTGGTCAGTAAAATATTTTGGGATGTTGTGTTTTCTTTATTTATGCAGTGTAGCCCAGAATGTCCAACAGACCAAAGACTCAAGTCCTTGAATCATTTCAGTGTGTAATATCTACAGCATTTCTAATTTGACTCATATTGTTTACAGGTAGTGAAGGTGCCAGTGTGCAGGTGACCTCTGTTCCAGCCTCTCTGGTTCCCTACAGTCTGTCTTTTTCTGTCCGAGTGTCGTCTCCTCGTCCAGTCTCTAAAGTAGAG